TATTGGGATGACACCATTTCAAGCCCTCTAAGGATATGAACCTCCGCAGCCCACATTTGAGTTAATTGCTCAATCCAAGGTAGAAATAATGGATCAATTGCTGAAAGAAAGGCAAATAATGAGCAAACAATTGAAGAAAAATCTCATTAAAGTACAAATGCGTATGAAACAATATGCGGACAAAAAAAGAAGCGAAAGAGAATTTGAGATTGGGGATCTAGTCTTTATCAAATTACAACCTTACAGGCAATCATCCGTAGCTGTGCGGAAGAATTTGAAGTTAGCTTCAAAGTTCTTTGGCCCCTACCCTGTAATAAAAAAGATCAGCCCGGTGGCTTATGAGCTTCAACTTCCAGACAATTCACGTATCCACCATGTGTTTCACGTGTCCTAACTCAAGAAGAAGTTAGGACCCAAAGTTTTTCCAACAAAAAATCCTCCTCTAAGCACTCCAGATGGTCAATTGGTTGCTGAACCTTTAGCAATTGTTGATCGCCGAATAGTTAAAAGAGGAAATCGGGCGGTGACCCAGGTGTTGGTACAATGGGCTAATTTAGCTCCAAAAGATGCAACTTGGGAAGATTACTCCTTCTTAACCTCGCAATTTCCAGATTTTCAACCTTGATTAACAAGGTTCTCGAAGGAGAGTGGGATATAGCGGATCTAGTCCGCTGGGCTAAAGAAGACGTGAAGGAAATGGGTCCATTTTGTATTGGGTCTATTTTGAAGATCTGAATATAGTTTTGTAATTTTTATTTGAGTCCTCTTAGGTTAGTAGTCTTTTAAATTCTCTTAAGTTGTTATTTTCCTTATAACAACACGTGTATTGTGTTTAGCATTTGTAACGTTAGAATAGTACCTAGTCTGTTCTATTTTCATTGGTCCAGTACATTAGTCACAACTGGTGATAATAGCTATATAGAGTCCTTAAAATCAGTGTAAAATGCATCTTTTGGAATGAAAATCTGTCTTTAATTTTTCTATCAATTTAATTTCCTTAAATTTCATCTTTTAAGTAGCTATCATGTTACACAACAAAACTCTATCGGAGAACTTTCATAAATTTTTCCAAAATTTCGCAAAACTCAGAAACCCTAGGTGAGAAATTGACGAACTGAAACACCTCGAAAACCCGTGAGGGTAAGATCGATCGAGAGCTCAGAACAAGTACTATTCGATTATTTGTTCTGATACCATGTTAGATCAACAAGATCGAATTGCGGAAGCAAAATATGAAGAAGAGAACCCTAACTCGAAATAGGGATGAAAAGAGAGAATTTTATTATCTGAGAAAAATGAATGAATCGAAAATATCTGTTAATTACACATTTAATCCTTATGAGGCTTTTATATACAGTGGGTAAAGAATTGCAAGGTTAGACCAAAAATAGCTAAGTGTAAACATATGGTAACTATATATATAAAACTAACTAGTGTACTTACCACGCTTCGCGCGGTCTTAAAAATATAATTAATTGTTAATATTATTTATATAAAGAAAATCAGTATTTATTAATATCAAACATCGCTTCATGATTTTACTACGATTCTTTTAACTTTTTATATAAAATTTTATGAGAAAAAGAATATGTGCAAATATATTTCAGGTTAATACTTATATTGGCTGAACTTTATTTTATTGGGGTCAGATCATTCACCTTGTAAACATCTCCCCCCATTTTCTCTTCCTCTATGTATAATAAATTCTTTTAAAAAAAAACTCACTTTATATGTGAACTTGAATAAATCAAAATAGAATACAAAAGAATAATAGAAAGGAGAAAATATAGTGATTTGAAAATTTAGAGGATGTAAACCAAGGATGTTTTTCGCTTTCCCTTCTTCCTGTAAGGTATTCTTAAGCCAAGTAGTATTTTGTTTTTTGGTGGGCATGTTCAGTTTTACTTCTCTTTTCTTTTTCTTTTTCTTTTTCTTTCTCTTTGTTTGCTTATTTTATTTTTGTTTCTTCATTTCTCTTTGTTTCCTGCAAAATGGTGCTCCTCTTCCTCTTTCATGGTACAATTTTGTTTTTCCTTTTCAGTTTCTTTCTCTTTCCTTCCATCAGATTTCATTTGATCAACCAGATACATAATTCCTCTCCTTATTTTTCTGTAAAATCCCACAAATCATTTTCTTTTCTCGTGTTAGCTATTCTTACCATTTTTAAAAGTCCACCACCCTTAATTATTATTTTTTCCTTTTCTGTTACTTCCTATCCATTTTTCCTCCCGTGATTCTATTTAATTAACCAAGCAAAACTTTTATTTCTCCTCCTAACTTTTTGTAAAATTTTTAAAATTATTTTCTCTTTCTTGTTAACTCTTCTTGCCACTTTAACCTATCTACCACCCTCTCTATATTGTCAAATATGAGACTGTAGTGCCATCTAACCTCTCTTGAGACCACGACTTATAAATACATATAGATACATTGTTTATACAACAAAATATAGCTAACTAATTAGTATCATATATTCAATAAAATAAAACATTAATCAAACATCTTATATCAAGTTCTTTGGATGAAGGATTTGCGAAACATTTAGTTAAAATGGAATAACCCATTTAAATAAGTATATCTGAATTTGAAAAACAAAAGATAAATAACTGATGAAAGATAATAATGTAAAATTACTGGATATCATGGTGCATAAAAATTATATTTAAATATAAACAGAATAGTGTTAATCCCTTAGCTTAGTTTAGAATCAACCATCCGGTCGTTACACCTTCACCTTCATCTAGACTCCCTAGCAATTTAAATTTATGTAGCTTAAATTTGAAACGATAAAAAGAAAGGGCAGCAAATAGATAATTAGAAACTAAACATTAAATTAGAGTTCATAGAAAAAGAACATCACATTATACTACTAATTTGTTAAGGGGATATATGATTGTAATTAATTCATTCAAGATTTACGAAACGTAAATCATAGATCGTACTTATATGGATAATTTATTTTTTTCCACCACTTACATGGATAATGAACAATTCTTACTTTTCTCATATTCAATCTTAAATAAGTGAAAAATATAAGATATAAGATTGAAATAAAAAAGGAAAAGAAATAAAAAGGAAAATAATGAAACCATATCACGCATATCCCAACTCTTTTTCTACGCTTTCCGATTCTTTTATTTTCTTTTTCTCGGAAAATTTACCATCTTTGCTACTTTATCCTCCCCCCTCGAATATGCAAGCCTAAATTCCTAAATTTTCTCCACACGATCACATCCATTGTGCTTTGTGAAACTATATACCAAAGATGTTGATACCAATTCGTCTTCAGAGCCTTCTTTCTCTTCTACTTCCTTTCATTTTTAGATTTTGTTTATGCTTACTTTCATCTCCAGCCACACATGGCACAGGCGCAACCACCAACCAGAGCAGCATCAACCGAAACACCACTGTGTTCAGAAGGCAATGGAGCGACCTTATTTTCCATCAGAACATAATCCGTGTAGTTGAAATTCACACAACCTAAATGAACAAATGCCAAGAATTACACGCATAAAATCATTCTAAGAAATCTAAAACCTTCATATCTTCTGGTAAGTAAATCGAGAAATGGAAGTGAAAATCTCTAACGTTTGAGTGAGCCAAATCACGTGTTAGGATTTGGATCTTGGTGTATTGGATTATGCCGCTTATATGAGTCTAGAAAGGTTTCAAAACATTTATGGAGGTAATTAAAATTATCCCTTACGAAAAAACAAAAATGTAAATTAGAGAATATTGAGGGGAAGTTACGAAGAAGAAATGGCACAGCAATAAGAGAAGAAATAATGGGATAGCATTAACAATGAGTGATAAATAGGGTACATTTGAATATTTTGAAAAACACCACTTATTCCATGATACTATACATATTTAAATCAACAACAACAAAGATGAAAAAATACCACTTATTCCATGATACTATAAGTATTTATATCAGGAAATTAAAGAGGAATTACTTATCATGAGTACCATAATTATGACATAATGTAATAAAATACTTCTAGTCTAGTAAGAGAAAAAGCATATTGTATACTATATGTTGCTTTAGTTGACGTCCAGGAATGGAAGATTGTAACATACAATATGATGCGCCCAGCAAGAGAAAAAGCATCACATTTTGTCCCTTTCTATGCATTCTATAGTAACAAAACACAATTATGCCTCCATTTTATGTCAGAATTCGGCAAATATCTGTTGAATGAAAACATCAGCATATTTGGAGAATGTGAATTTTTTATATATCACAATGAATATTTTAAATGAATATCATTTTGGTCGCACCAAACGCACCGGGCACAATTTATATTGATGAAAAAAGAGGAAAAATCAAATGCAGAAAAAGGGATGAAGAATGGGTAAGTTCCATGAGAAAGGGAACGTCCTTAGCTTTGCCATGGTATGTGGAGATCGGAGAGCTTTCGGTTTAGTAGGAGAAAATGAATACGAAACGGTGGAAAACAAATGAAAAGGTGGCTAAAGAGGTTAAAGAGAATGAACAGTCGCTTTAAATTTTTCATCCGAAAATAAGATAAATAGAAAAATTAGAATAAATAGCAAAAAATGTGGAAAAAGAGAAATGGCTTCTCTAATCGTATATAGTGCCACGCCACCTGTCTTAGGCCCTGTTTTATATAATTATATAGATTACAGGCTATTACAAAGATGTATTGGGCCATGTCAGCTGGTTGGACCTACTCGTGTGGACTCCTGTATGTGAAGAGGTCCAGTGTTAACACATTTGACGTTTAAGGAAGCCATCTGGTTTTGCATTTTCCCTTTCCCTTTAAGAAGGCAATGTACTAGCTCATTAACCTGTTCGAGTAACTTCTTCAGTTTCCAGATCCAATATACTAACACGGTTACTCTCATATTATATGTTTAATAAATAAAAGAGGAAACAAGTCTGTTCAATGGCACTATTTCCTGGCTATTAGCAAATCCATGTAAAATGTGGACCAAGGATAGTTAGAAAGAAATTCTCAAACGTGCAAACCACAATGTAGAAAAGACAATAATATTTTCTCACATGTGTGACACTAATAATATCTCACACATGCAACCATAACAATTAAAGACACTAATGTTTTCTCACACTTGCAACCATAACATAGACACTTGCGTGCAATCATAACGAAGACAACTTAAACCAGCTTGAGAGAGCTTTGGCGGACAAGAACCCAAACCAGGGTCTGCGGAGCCTGAAAACTCATTATTGGATTTGTCACTTTGTGAGAGAGTTACATGTATTTTCCAGTTCCCAATAAATAAAATAACATCAGCACGATAGGACTACTGCTAAGCAAGACATACGAGTATGAGCAAACTGAATACAGCAAAAGGGATAGATTACTGAGGAAAGTATACATTTACACTCGGTGGCTAAGAAGAATCAACAACTTCCTTGGTGCTTTCAGTGCACTATTTCAACCTGCCTTTACCACACATGTATCCATGATCAAGGCACCATTGTAGCACTACTACTCAGTTTCCCGCAAGACGTCTATATATAACTAATGCAAATAACTTAAGTGACCACACTAAAATGGTTTGGTCCCATTCATAGTTCCCAGTCTGGAAAGCTGCATAGAGAAAATAGAAAAACTCATTAATGGAGAGCTACTACCACAAGAAGACTTAACATGCTGCTCTTCTAGCATTTGTATTTCTATGATTCAATCCAAGTTATGAACCTTACCATATTATAATTCTGAAGAACAAAAAGAGCAAGACAAAATGATGTCCAAATTAGAAATTAAGAAGAAAGACTAGAAGTTGAAGACAAGCAAATCACAGCACTGCACGTAGGCAAGATGTCAAAAAAGCATATGATAGTCGACATGTTTGTGAACTGTGAAATCTTGTAGGCTAAGACACTGAGCCTGGTATTTAATCGCTTTTGAGTTGGGTTTGTGTGGAGCAGAGTTCTGAATTCCCATGCTCAATTAACTAAGGAGTCACACAGAAAACTCTTCATAATATAAAATTAAAGCAAAGACAACCATCTTGGAAAAAGAAAAGTGCATTGGCATCTGAATCCATCTTCATGAGTCTGTTAAGTAATTTAACCAAAGCAGCTGTGTTCTACAAGAGAAGACAGTATGTAACTCAAATAGACATAATCACATAGCTTTACAACTTTTGACGGAGTTATAAGCATATCAAGTTGATGCAATTCAGAAAGAAAGTCTTCAATGTGGTTTATTTCATGGCAATAATTTGGAGAAAGGTACCTTTCATCATAATGAAGAAACTTGTGCGCAGAAGTGCAGTCTATCCTGAGATGTTTCAATGTCTCGAGAAATCAGTTCATTGTTAACCTGCCACCAATTTATCAGCGAGAACAGAATTTTGAGAGGAAATTTGTTCAGTTTTAAGAAATCAGTTAGTGCTACCCTCTACCAACTAATCACTGAGAAATTTTGTAAAACATCAGAAAGAGGGAGCTGTAAATAAAACTGATTCAGTGATTCTTACATCAGTCTTATCTAACTTCCATTCTGCAACTCTATCTGAGAGAAGGGCTACATACTTTTCCATAGCCTTCTCCCTACTCATATCTCCTAGCCTGTGCCAAGAGCTCCTGAACAGCATATATAACAAACTATTAAATTCAAAACATAACATACATGGCCTGTTGCCAAAGGGTCTGAAATCTGGAAAATTTCGACAAGGATACCTCAAGTTTTTCCTAATGAACTATGTGTATTATGCTGTTCAGTTAATGCTGCAGCATTGGATACCAAAATTTTGAGAATACAACATTTTAGGCCTCAAGATTAACATTTCTATGCATGATTTTGAGATCTATATATGCAAGTAAAGGTTAAGTTTTGTTGTTCTTTTCTCTGAAGATATTCAGACATTATGCAGTTTGTGTGGAATTAGACTGACTTTTAATTGGATTTGAAGTTTCAGTTCCATAGTTCCAACTTTTCTTTTTCTTTGGTGCCAATTGGTTCTAGACATGATGCCCGAGGTCCCAATGTGATAGAATTTCGGTTGTAGCTCCTCTGTAGGAAAAACAGAAGTGAAAAAGCTAAGTGTTCTCTCTACTGATTATTCAGCATTCAACGGCATGGGACAAGACAAGGCATAGAAAGAATGTATAGATGCAGATTGTGCTTGAAATTTCTGCTTCTTAAATACACGGGAACACTGAGAAAATAGAAGAAAATTTGCAATATTTCGACTCACTCTGACTTCTATGGGGAGGCATGACAAAGTGAATTTCTTTTGGATCTTATATTTCCAGTAAAGTCTTAAAAGGTAAGAAACAGGAGGCAATCTAGATCATTTTCCAGGAGATCAGACATAGCAAGAGGAGGTGATTAGGACCTGTGTTTACAAGAATACAATTGTGTATTTTGGATCTTTTCAAACTACAGAAATTGAACCCCCACAACTGAGTGGAGCTTCAGGGTATATCTGACACTTAGTTCGACAACTTGAAAACTATCTTATCCACTATGAACCTATTATTTATCACATTAAAGAAGCTAAACTTTACCTTAAAAGTTACAAAACTACTTTTATTATAATATCAAGAACAGAAGCTGAGCCTTGTCCGTTTGTTTTGGTCATTCTCCAATGCATCTATGATGAACCAAATGCTCAATTAACACATCCAAACTACTTGTCCCCGCAAAGCTCATTTACTTTTTTTCTTTTCCATTTCTGAACGAAGAAATAGCTATGATTCCCGGTGCTTAAACTATAACGTAACACATTTAAGCTTATATATGCTGATAATTAGAATCATAAATAAGAAAAAAGTAGAGTACCATTTTGCACGAGCTGAAAGCTTGAACGGCATCGGCTGCGGTTCATAACACGGCCCCTCAGTGGCAATCTTGTGAAGCCCATAAAGCTGCATCTTCAACTCATTGTCAAGAACATCATCATTCTTTTTGGAATTCACAAATACCACCGCTGCACCGAATAGCTTTTCCAAATCTGTTCTCTCTATACCTTCCCAATCTTCTAATAACTCCTCACTTTTCTCCATTAATACATCAGCTTCTTGCTTTTTCCTGTTTTCACCCTCTAAATTTCCAGCTCCCTCCTTTGCCACCCCATCTTTCTCACTTGGGTTGTTCCCAATTTCTTGAAATTCAAGTTCCTCCGGAATTTCTTCAACATAATACAGGGACCCAATTTCAAATTCCCGAAATTTTGGGGCCACATAACAACTTTTGTCACTTACTTTCTCTTTCACCCCGTTGTCATCACCACCGACATTTTGTTTAACGTATGTGTCCCCTTCTTCCTTTGACACTTCTTGTTCATTTCTCTTCATCTTTTCTGCTAATACTGCAGTTCCAACTATGCCACCATCCCCCATAGGATTTTCCTCGACAACATTTTTGCTTTTCAGATCACTCGTTCTCGCTAGGTCCTCAACATAGCAGAACCTTTTCTTACTAGTGTCATTCTTTGAGCTACACGTAACAGCTGTGACACTAGACTGAAGACTCCAACTATAGTATCTGCCTTGCATGAATCTATGTGAATGGAACTTGACAAGTATGATATAAAAAAGAAACGAAAGTCCCAAAGTGAAGAGGAGTTCTTGAAAAAAAATCATACCTATATTGCAACAAGAGTGGGTACACAATACAAAATAAATGATGGAAAATTTGAAGGGATGAAAGAAAAGGGAAAGGAATTTTGCAGAACAGAGCAAAGTATATTCTGGTTTTGTGGGAGTTGGAGTTGGGGTGTAGGGGTGGGTGGGGGGAGTGTCACTGTCACTCTGTGTGTTGGCAACGTTTGAAAAAAAGGAAAGTAAGGTGGCGAAAAAGGACAGTCTTGCTAAAGATCATGAGGGAGTAGAGACAAAGAAAACGACCTCGAGTCGACCATACTATGTACCTAAACATATGTTTCCTACTAAAGATTACCCAAGAATTTGTGCAATTCTCTGTTTTTAACCTTTCTTGTATATTTGCTTCTGTGCCATGTTTTATTCATTTTTGTACCTGGTGCAATGTACCTAGTTGAATAATTTTGATATACTGCGAAAGGCCAAATATATTTTTCTATTTTTGAAAATGATCTAACAATACTCATCGTTATACTATTGGGTTATCTATACCCTACAGTCATACTTTGGGTTCAAATATACCCCTCATTTAAACGGAGAGACACGATGTCATCGTCCTGTTGGTCAATTTTTAATATCTCCTAATTAATTAAAAAAACCCATTATCCATACCCGAAAAATAATTTCTTTTATGTAAAAACTGAAAAAAATATTTTTACTAAAAACTGAAAAAAACGAAAATATTTTTTTTTCTAGTTTTTACAAAAAACTGCTTTAAAAAAACTGGAAAATATTTTCTAAAATAATATTTTTGTAAAAACTGAAAAGCAATTTTCTAAAGCAATTAAAAATTGAAATATTTTTAACTAAAAACTGAAAAAACAATTTTTTTTTTTTCAGTTTTTACAAAAATATTATTTTAGAAAATATTTTCCAGTTTTTTTAAAGCAGTTTTTTGTAAAAACTGAAAAGCAATTTTCTAAAGCAATTAAAAATTGAAATATTTTTAACTAAAAACTGAAAAAAAAAAAATTGTTTTTTCAGTTTTTACAAAAACACTGCTTTAGAAATTTGCTTTTTAGTTTTTTTTTTCTTCAGTTTTTACAAAAATATTGTTTTAGAAAATATTTTTCAGCTTTTTTTAAAGCAGTTTTTTTGTAAAAACTGGAAAAAAAAATATTTTCGTTTTTTTCCAGTTTTTAGTAAAAACAATTTCAGTTTTTACAAAAAAAAATTGCTTTAGAAAATTGATTTTCAGTTTTTTCAAAAACATTATTTTAGAAAATATTTTTCAGTTTTTTCTAAAGCAGTTTTTTTATAAAAACTGGAAAAAAAATATTTTCTTTTTTTTTTTTCCAGTTTTTATTAAAAATAATTTCAGTTTTTTCTAGTTTTTACAAAAAAAAAATTACTTTTCGGATATGATTAATGAGTCTTTTTAATTAATTAGAAGATATTTAGAATTGACCAACAGGACGATGACATGTGTCCCTCTGTTTAAATAAGGGGTATATTTGAACCCAAAGTATGACTGCAGGGGTATAGATAACCCAATAGTATAACGAGGGGTATTCTTAGACCATTTTCGAAAATAGAGGGATATATTTGGCCCTTTACCGTTTGATATATTGTACTATTGAATAAAAGAGAAGTGGCTTAATATATATGCGGCTCCTAAATTTGTCCAATTATTTTCTTTAGACATTTTAATTCCGAGAATAGTTATTGATGACATAAACTCCTTTAAATGTTTACTTATTAAATACATTTTCTTAGACAAAATGTATATTTTCCACTTTCCTTTAGGGCTTTAGTATCTCAAAAATGGTTAATCCATTTTTTTCCTAACTTTTTCTTCTCCTCTGCGGCTAGCCATGAAAAAAGATGCCAAAAACACTCCCAAAAAACTTTAGATCTGTTTTTCCAATCTCCACCCAATTCCTACACACCCACAATTAGCCACCATTAGCATCTTTTTTACCATAGTGTAGTTATATTTTCCCAATGTCATTAGTTATACTAATCAGTAGTTTGGGCTTAGTAGCTTTAAACATATCATGAATTTAATTGTTTTTAATTTGAGAAATGAGTGTAAATGATCTCGGTATTAAGTCAATATGAAACAATAAATAAAATCAATCAATTATTTTCTCTTTATAAAGGAAGCCGAGTCATTCTTTTCGCCAAGGAATGACTATTGACGTAGATTGAAAGGTGGTGTAGGGGGTTTGGGG